AATGGGCTGAGGAGAAAGAAAGAGGGTTGTGAGGGACAGGGGGCTGTGGCTGAGGTCGAGGGGTGAAGGGGGGGCGTTTCTCAACATCTGGAAGAGTGCACAGCTGCATGAATGGACCGCCACCCCTGTGGGTGCCAGGCAAGGGCCGCCCAGCTGTGCACATCTGGGGTGTGGGGCTACCAGGAGGGTGGGTGAGACAGCACTGCATTGGCGCCTGCCCGGACCCCTTACCTTGTGTCTGGATCCAGCTGTTCCGAGGCCCTGGCTGGGCAGGGTCCCAGCTGTTCAGAGCCCCCAGCTGGGCAGGGATCCAGCTGTTCCGAGGCCCTGGCTGGGCAGGGTCCCAGCTGTTCAGAGCCCCCAGCTGGGCAGGGATCCAGCTGTTCCGAGGCCCTGGCTGGGCAGGGTCCCAGCTGTTCAGAGCCCCCAGCTGGGCAGGGATCCAGCTGTTCCGAGGCCCTGGCTGGGCAGGGTCCCAGCTGTTCAGAGCCCCCAGCTGGGCAGGGATCCAGCTGTTCCGAGGCCCTGGCTGGGCAGGGTCCCAGCTGTTCAGAGCCCCCAGCTGGGCAGGGATCCAGCTGTTCCGAGGCCCTGGCTGGGCAGGGTCCCAGCTGTTCAGAGCCCCCAGCTGGGCAGGGATCCAGCTGTTCCGAGGCCCTGGCTGGGCAGGGTCCCAGCTGTTCAGAGCCCCCAGCTGGGCAGGGATCCAGCTGTTCCGAGGCCCTGGCTGGGCAGGGTCCCAGCTGTTCAGAGCCCCCAGCTGGGCAGGGATCCAGCTGTTCCGAGGCCCTGGCTGGGCAGGGTCCCAGCTGTTCAGAGCCCCCAGCTGGGCAGGGATCCAGCTGTTCCGAGGCCCTGGCTGGGCAGGGTCCCAGCTGTTCAGAGCCCCCAGCTGGGCAGGGATCCAGCTGTTCCGAGGCCCTGGCTGGGCAGGGTCCCAGCTGTTCAGAGCCCCCAGCTGGGCAGGGATCCAGCTGTTCCGAGGCCCTGGCTGGGCAGGGTCCCAGCTGTTCAGAGCCCCCAGCTGGGCAGGGATCCAGCTGTTCCGAGGCCCTGGCTGGGCAGGGTCCCAGCTGTTCAGAGCCCCCAGCTGGGCAGGGATCCAGCTGTTCCGAGGCCCTGGCTGGGCAGGGTCCCAGCTGTTCAGAGCCCCCAGCTGGGCAGGGATCCAGCTGTTCCGAGGCCCTGGCTGGGCAGGGTCCCAGCTGTTCAGAGCCCCCAGCTGGGCAGGGATCCAGCTGTTCCGAGGCCCTGGCTGGGCAGGGTCCCAGCTGTTCAGAGCCCCCAGCTGGGCAGGGATCCAGCTGTTCCGAGGCCCTGGCTGGGCAATGCTACTACAACCCCTTGGCGATGATGTGTGTGGGGGACCCTGAGGAGGAAAAGGCCTCGTACTCGGTAAACACCCACATTGCGATGGAGGGGAACTGGGAGCTTTCCCAGGTGGCACAAGATACAGGGGTCCACTTAGTGACCTTTAGTGGATCTCTCTCTCCACATACACCCAATCTATCTAGTATCTACCCCCATGCACCACCCCCATCTATCTGTCATGCAGGAGTTAGCACTGCCTCCAAAAAAACCCATCTGGCTTCAGGGATATCACCGTGGTCCTCGGGGCCCATGACGTTGGTCAGGAAGAGGATACCCAGCAACGAATCGCCGTGCGGCGGAAGATCCCCCATCCCAAATACAACAAGAATGATGCTCCTGAAGGTACCTGTCCCGGCACCCCTAGTGCCTCCCCTGTCCTGGCTCACGTCCAGGTGGGGCCCGAACCCCCTGACATCCCCCTCTCGCAGCTGGCAAAGTCGGCTGAGCTGAACGATGTGGTGGACACCATCCCGCTGCCCGAAGAGGATGACACAGTGGAGCTGGGGTCAGTGTGCAGCGTGGCCGGATGGGGCAGGACCAGCCCAAAGAAAAACACCAGCCTCCTCCATGAGGTGGAGCTGAAGGTGATGTCCGACGGGACCTGCCAGGAATACGTGCAGATCCGACACTTCTACAGGCCTGGAATGATGATGTGTGTGGGGAACCCTGCTGAGAAAAAGGCCTCGTTCTCGGTAAACACCCACCAGGGATGGGGAGGGGGATTGGGAGCAGACCAGATGTTAGGAATAATTTAAAAAGGGATAGAGAATAAGACCGAGAATATCTTATGGCCTCTCTAGAAAGCCATGGGACACCCACAGCTTGAACCCTGCATCCAGATGTGGTTGCCTCATCTCAAAAAAGATCCGTTAATATTGGAAAAGGTCTATAAAATCAGGAGTGGTGTGGAAAAAGCGAATAAGGAAAAGTGATTTACTTGTTCCCACAATATGAGAACGAGGGGTCACCCAATGAAATGAAAAGGCAGCAGGTTTAAAATAAACGAAAGGAAGTTTTTCTTCACGCAGCGCACAGTTAACCTTGCCAGAGGATGGTGTGAAGGCTCAGACTTTAACAGGGTCAAAAAAAGAGCTAGATAGATTCATGGAGGTTAAGTCCATCAATGGTTCTTAGCCAGGATGGGTAAGGAATGGTGCCGTTAGCCTCTGTGTGTCAGAGGGTGGAGATGGATGGCAGGAGAGAGATGGCTTGATCATTGTATCAACAGGTGTGTTGTAAGCAAAATTCGTGAAGTCATTCTGCCGCTCTACTCTGCACTAGTTAGGCCTCAGCTGGAGTACTGTGTCCAGTTCTGGGCGCCACATTTCAAGAAAGATGTGGAGAAATTGGAAAGGGTACAGAGAAGAGCGACAAGAATGATTAAAGGTCTAGAGAACATGACCTATGAAGCCAGGCTTCATGAACTGGGCTTGTTTAGTTTGGAAAAAAGAAGATTAAGGGGGGACATGATAGCGGTTTTCAAATATCTAAAAGGGTGTCACAAGGAAGAAGGAGAAAATTTGTTCCTCTTGGTTACTGAGGACAGGACAAGGAGTAATGGGCTTAAAGTGCAGCAAGGGAGGTTTAGATTGGACATTAGGAAAAAATTCCTAACTGTCAGGGTGGTCAAATATTGGAATAAATTGCCAAGGGAGGTGGTGGAATCTCCCTCTCTGGAGATATTTAAGAACAGGTTAGACAGACATCTGTCAGGGATGGTGTAGACAGAGCTTGGTCCTGCCTTGAGGGCGGGGGGCTGGACTCGATGACCTCTCGAGGTCCCTTCCAGTCCTATGATTCTATGAATCTGCACACACCCCTCTATCTGTCTGTCTGTCTGTCTATCGATCGCCTCTGGGGCCTGCACTCCTTGCAAGAGAGCAGCTCAGAGAGGCCAAATGAAGGCTGTGTTCTGAGCTCCTGTTTACCTTCTATCCCCTCTGATATTGCAGGGTGATTCCGGGGGCCCCCTGGTGTGTGACGGGAAGGCCCAGGGCATCGTCTCCTATGGCAGCGCTAATGGGTCAACTCCCAGTGTGTTCACCAAGCTCTCCAAATATCTCTGCTGGATCCAGAAAAGCCAAAGGCTGCACTCTGAAAGGCCCCGACCCCTTCCCTGAAGGGGGCAGAGTTGGGTTTGTGGATTCTGAGTTCCAGGGAGACCCTTCCCACAGCTGTGGTGCTCAGAGCAACGGGGCCTTGAATAAATGCCATACTCCTTATACCCCCAATATTAGAAAGTCATCTGTGATGCTCACTGGGTGGGGTGGTCTTTATTTGTCTATATTGTGGCATCCCTTAGAGATGAGCTCCCTGCATTGCCCTACCCCCATCCCAGTCTCTGCTTTGCTGGAAGCCAGGGGTGATGGATGTAGGATTTTCAGTCCTGTTTGCATGATGCCTCGGTGTGCCTCAGTTTCCCTCTGTGCTTTCCATGGCTGGGCATAGAGGTTAAAAGTGCATGTGGGCTCAGTGGAAGGATAATGGCTCAGAGATGCGGGGGGAGGGAGGTTGGGTTGGTGTCAGGCTTTGTAGAGAAATGGGATGGGGAAAAATACAAGGAAAAGGATCAGGAGCAGAGCCTGGGGTGTGCCTGGCTTGCACTAGCCAGGCCTGGTGGACATGTCTATACCTTGGTGTCTCTTAAGGCCCTGTCCTTTGTCTACATGAACTCTCAAGTTCCCAGTGTGTCAATATCTGTGCACATCCGTCCTTAGTGACCTGCCCTTTGGCGCTTCCCTCTCAGGGCACCTCTTTTGGTCACACCAACCTTCTTCTCTGCCTCTCCACAGACCCTACAAACACGGATAGTCCTCAAGGTCCCACAGATCTCCAGCTGGGTGCTGGCAACACAGCATTGGCCCTGGGGGATGCATCTGGCTCTGGGGAGGAGCCTGGGTTTGCAAACTCTATGAAGCCACCCTGCATAGCTAGCAGGGAGCAACTTTCTGGAGCCGTGTACCCCTGGGCTTGTTCATATCTGTTGCCTGGGGCTGGGAAGCAGGGATGCAAGGCAGGAAACTTCAGGGCCATGCACCCCAGAGCCCAGGCAAGGAAGCTGCTATCTCAGAGCTGGGAATGGGACGGGACTGGGCAGCTAAGAGAAGACCCCCACCCACGATTATGGGGATGAGGAGATGCAGGAAGGTTCCTCTGACATCTGGTGCCTTCCACAGCTCGGCATGGGGCTCCTATGGGCCCTGGCCTGGAGTAAGGGACCTCTGGGGCGGTGCTGAGCCTTGATCCACACCCCACAATCTGCACACAGAGGGTCACCTCCTGGCCAGGCCCTGCTGGCCTCGTCCTCCACCACCTGTGTTGGAGCCGAGATGGGGGCGCAGGGACACCTGTGATGTTCTCCTCCACCGGATAGGACCTCCTCTACCCCTTCCATTCCTGGGAACCCCACTGGACAGGCAGGGGGAGAGAATCATGTCCAACTGGGTCATGCCCCCTCTGTCATGGAGTGTGGGGGACTCCCCGGGCCCTGCCCCCCATCCATGGCCAGACGTGACTTTCATCTGATGGGTAGAAGAGAAGGTTTATTGGGTCATAGGGGCACAGCACAGCACACGGTGGATGTTCACACAGGGACCAAGAGCAGACACTCTTATTCCTCTTGGGAAGAAGGGGGTCCAGCCAAGAAAGCGATGTGACTGAAGAGAAATGATAAATAAATAAGCTGATTAATGGAGATGCCTATCAAAGCTTGTCTCTTTGCCCTCACAGCAGGACCCAGTAACATCCCTGACAGATTTTTGCCCCACATGGTCTCCTCAAGGATTGAACTCACAACTCTCAGTTTAGTAGGCCAATACTCAAACCACGGAGCAATTGCATCAGTGATGTCAACAGTGGAGAACATCAGGAGGTACAGGCAGGGAGCCAAAGGGAAGTAGCAGAATGTCCCAACAAGGAACATCTTTGTCATGACCGACTACCCATACATAATGCACATACTGACCTAGGTTCAGGACCGGGTCGAAATTGACAGCAAGAAGGATGGTAAGTAAGGCCCTCTTCTGCCAGGGAAGACGTGAAACCGACTAAGGGTACGTCTAGACTACAGGGTTTTGTCGACAGAAGTTCT